TGTGGTTATGCAAGGAAACAATTCAATATTCAACCTGGGTGCTTTCTCCTTTGCTCCGCTCCCTCCTTTGCTCCACTCCCTCCTTTCTAGGAGTCAGAGATCTGTTTGCAGAGCTGGTTTTGAGGTGGCTGGAGGGGTGGGATTCCCTGGGTGTGTGTATCTCCACACTTTGTTCTTTCTGGGGATATGTTTTCCTTTAAAAATTGCATGGGACCTCAGTTGGCAGTGCTTTGTTATGAATTGTACAGCTGGAGTAAGGGAATTCCTCAGGGTGAACAGTTCATGGGTATGAAAGTGCTCACATCGGTACAGTTTGTTCAGCTACGTATCCAAAATAAACAGTAACACAGAGGTGCTGCTGCTACCAGTAATAAGGTTTATCCTCAGGGGAAAGAGAGGGCAGCTAATTCAGCTTTGTATTTGCTACATAACTTGAAAAGTTGGGTGGCACCTATAAAAAGATCAATATTTTTACCTGAGAAAAATAACAGTTAGTATCCTTGCAGTGTTTTCTAAGTGTTGTATAATGTAAATAAAACATTCAGTAAGTGCTGCTGCTCAAATTGTGCATTTGCTGAAAGTTACTGAGCTTTCAGAAAGCCTTCCTTAGTGACCAGCTGCACTGTGAGAAGGGTACTAGTGTGTTGGAACCAGTTCTCATCCACCAATGGCTGGTTGAAAGATGTTGGAGAACAAGTTTTCTGAGTTAAATTGTAACTGTAGTATTAGGTGGCTTCCACGGGCTAGTCTTTGCCTGCTGGGGATTTTATTACAACAGCAGCAATGTAGTGGTTGCACTTCTTTGGGCATTTAAAAGGGGCTGTTTATTTTGTAGAAGAATTAAGGGTGTAATGTGGCAATTTCTCTTTGGCTCCACTGCAGTGGTCTTACCTAACTAGTTACTCTGCTACACTCCCCTTACTTTGTCATGAGGAAATGTCGATTTACAGTTAATAATTAATGGTGGTCAGGCCTGGAACAGCCTGTGCTTCTCAAGGTTGTTACAGTCTGCCAAATTGGTCATGTTTATGAATTTCTCTGGAATTGCTTGAGAAGGCTGGAGATAGAATTTAAAGAGTCTAGTGAAGAGCATTGTTACAGCCAGGTGAACATTAGCAAGGTGTGTCTGGAGATGCTCTATTTCAGCAAGCAACATTGTCTATTCAGATGCTGTACAGAGAAGCTTGACTTGGGGGGGGCAAGCTGTGAAGTGTTTCCTGCTTATTGTTATTACTTTGTGTAATTGTATTAATTTAAATGAATAAACAGTGAAATGACTTATTTTAAATGTGTTTACTTTTTTCATGCATTCTTCAGAAGCATAACATTCACAGTCTTGACTCTGATCAAAATTCACACATTTTTGTATAATGTAATGTTTAATAAGTCAGTGCAGACCTCCCAGTGCTTTCTGTGTAAAACATAAAGCCAAGAAGACTGCTTTTTTTCTCAGGGACCCTATCTAGAGGTAATAGCAGTTGATGTCTTGAGACAGCCTTTCTTTTCCACATTCCCTGCAGCATTCATAGCAGCACCTGGCACGTGAGGCAGGATGCAGTAAAATCACTATCAGAGCAAAGCAAGCTGGAGAACTCCAGAGCCAGCTTCAGCTGGTGCATGCCACTGCCTCAGAGTCATTGCTGCACTGAAGTGGAGTTACAGTGGTCATCTTGCACTTGGGGAATGAGCAGAGGGCTTTAAAAATGTGTATAGGGAGAATGGACAGACTTCTCTTAAAGCTGAAAATTGATTCTGAAGCTACTCTAGTAGATGGAGGCTGCCCCTGATACTTCACCTGGGGATTGTACTCTTCAGTCCATCTTTTGATGGCTTTGTTTACTTTTGTTTTGTTTGCATCCGAGAGTAGTCTTGTAATCCACATGTTTGGATTTTATTTTGAATTAAATTTACTGGGAAGATGTGTGCCAGTGGCTCATGAATGTTCAGGCTCAAGTACCCTCCCCTGAAATGAACACAAAGTTAGGGTTGCTTGTTTTTTTTTTTCCTTTAGCATCAGCTGCTTTGCTCTACACATTCCTTTCTTATTGTGTTGCTGGACTTATTAATGTAGATACAGTCTGGCAAGCTTCAGTTTGTATGAGGAAGCAGTAGTCTTGATAAGAAGTCTGCAGAAAGTTGTGTAAGCTCAGTGAAGTTATCTGTGACGAGGAAAGAAAGATCCACTCTTTGGTAGGTCAAAGTGTGCAGTGTATTAGTTTCTTATAGCAGGAGACCAACTGCAACACAGTAACTCTTCTTTACTCCTTCCAGTGTAGCTATCCATGGGGTTATACAGAAGCCTCCAAAATAGTAAAAAAACAACCAAACAAAAAACCACAACAGACTGAAACTGAACACCACCACCCCTCCAATCACAAAAAAAACCCCCAAACAAACCCAAACTGTAATCAACAAAAAATCCCTCACAACCTGGCAGTGCTGTTATTGCAGAGTGTGTCCTGGTGTTTTCCCTTTCCCTCTAAGGTTTGTGCAGCTCTGCTGACTGGGTGTGGGGCTGGGTTTTCATCTGGGTGCTTGGATGCCTATGTGCTCCAGGGTGGTTTCTGAGAGTTGATTTTGGAGATCTCAGTAATGTGGTCAGGATGAATGATTCTTTTAAATATAATTATTATAGCAGAGAGGGTGATGCCGTAATATATAGTCTATAATATGTTTATGCTGTGCATCAGGCACCTTGTAAACAAGTTCTGTTATTTAGTAGAGAACTTAAGAACTTCAAGAATTTTTGCTGGTTTTCTTGAGGTTGAGGGTGAGTCTTAAATCCTTGATGTGGAGCAAGAGGCCAGTGGCATTCCCATAATGTTTAGTGACAAGAGAGCCTGGCTGCTGGCAGTTTCCAGCCTTCTGTGTCTGGCTCTGCGCAAACAGCTTTGGAAAGGGAAGGGCTTTGAACTTTTCTTCGACTGCTGGGGCAAAAACCATTATAGGATGCTAAACTGAAGCGATAGCGTGATGAAAATAATCACTCTTAAGATGTCTGAATGCTAATTTCCATAAATCAAATCACAGTTTCGGAATAATTATGCCATGCATTTGGTTAATTTTTGTTTGATCAGAGTCATTGCAATGTCTGGCTCAAGTTTTATGTGACTCATCTACAATTTAAATACCTATTGCCAGAATTTTCATGTGCTTGGTATGAAAAAGTCATTTAATGAAAGTATTACTGGTACTGAATTAATCATCTAGAGCTGATTGGGCTGGTCTAAGTCATAACTCTGTGAAACCTTGTAGTTATTTACACTGGGGTCCATCCAGTGCCTTTTTCTTAATGTTATGTGACGTAAAATTTAAGGCTGATGTTTGGCAGGTCTGGAAGGGGGGGGACACAGCAGGGTCAGTGCAGAGAGGAGAGCTGGAAGGTACAGCATCTGAGAGATGGAGTCTGTGCATTTTGAGGTGGAATTGAGATTCCTCATCCTACACGTGGGCCAGGTGCTGCTGCCCTTGTCCTCTTCCCTCCAATGTTGTGCTGACATGGTCCACTCTGTGTCTGGGAAAGGGAGGTACGGTGTGGAACAGGGCCCTGGATTGTCTTGTGGCTCTGCTTTCCCCAGAGCTTGTGTCATGAATCAGGGTGAATTTGGGGAGGCAGCAGGACTAATCCTGCACCATCACACAGGATATGCAGAAAGGGGCTGCTGTGCTCGAGGGCTTCCTGGACTGGCAAACTGCCTCCTCTTGCGCAAAACTGTTGGTGGTTACCAATGTCTGAGGTGATAGTGTTAATTTCTGAGAGGCTGTGCAGGCGTAGCCTTTCAAAACGTGATGGCCTCGGGGAAGGTGAAGTCATTTAGGTTGAAATTCTGTTTTCAGCCTTACTGAGAATTCAAAAGTTGAAATAATGCATACTCTTTCATGCTACCTTTCTCTTCTCTCTTAGCAAGGAAGTGATTGTGGTGGCAGAAAAAAATATTTAAAAGAATGTTAAAATATACTGAATATAGAAAATACCTCTAGAAAAATATATTCTTGTTCTTCCTTTCACATTCACTTGAAAAGAAATTTTCTGTGAGAAGTCAGTCCTTGTGAGTTCTCTATGTATAATGATCATCCCAGTTTTTAGAGGTGATCTGGAGCAGGAAGGTGTTGTATCGTTCTGTAGAATGTTATACTTAGTTAAACTAACAGGTTACCTTAGAGTGCAGGTCTTCTATGGCCCAACTAATGAAACTGGCATATCTGAGTTGAAGGGGGAGAAAATAATATGTGCCTCCTACCCTCTTACAACTGTGTCACTGATATGCAAACTTCTGCAATGGGATGGTGTATAACTTACAGAAAGCACTTGCCTTTTGTGAATGGATTAGATTTCTCTGTTATCTTAATTTACTTGGAAAGTTGCAATTGTTTATGTGAATGCAGAAACACTGTTGCAGTTGTTTATGTGAAGGCACAGACATGCCTGAGGTATTTTGGACCCCAGCTCGATTGCTTTCCCTTTTTTCAGGGTGAAATTCTTTGAGCTTTGACATTTGGGTCATTTGTCTATTTGTTCTTAGAAGCTAAATGGTGCTTACAGTGAATAGGTCAGGTACTTCGTGTAACTGGTAGCATTGGCTCACAAGGGCTTTTAAGTCATTTTACACCATAATTGATAAATATTTGAATTGGTTATTTAACTTATGCTGCTGAACACTACAATGCTTTTGTATGTGGAAATGCTGGGGTTTTTAAAATGAAAGCTGAGTTTTTAATAGCATAAAGATAGTTCTTCAGTGGAAAAATTATGAATAGTGGCCTACTGCAGGCTGTCTCAGTCCTGCCCTGTGCAACCAGCAAAAGCACTTACTGCTTTAACCTGCTGCTTTAACCTTTTATGTGCACTGGTGAGGCACGAGGACCTTGCTATTGGCCATAAGAAACTAAATATGAAATAACTGTAGGCTACTTTTGGAAAATATATTAATGTCCTTCCAAGCAAAGCTTGGAAATGTGAGTGCAGGATTCTCACTCGCTGTCTCTCTCTCTCCATAGGTATGGCCTCACAAGTCTTGGTCTATCCACCATATGTTTATCAAACCCAGTCAAGTGCCTTTTGTAGTGTGAAGAAACTCAAACTAGAACCAAGCAGTTGCGTGTACCACGAAAGAACCTACCCGCAAATCTACGTGAATGGTAAAAACTTTGGAATTCCTCCCCACAGGGTTAGTACTTTCTTTCAGACTAAAAATCCATTTGACAGACCTCGAGGACAGAACTTTTTGTTGCAGTCAGATGCTGTTGCTTTAAAAAGTATTGCAGGTGCTACAAAAGCATTAGCAGCGCGGGCGCAGCAAGCTCAGTTGGAAGCACCTCGGACTGGCACGCAGGGAAGTCGATCAGATATCCTGGAAGGACCCCAGCGATGTGGATTGAAGCGTAAGAGTGAGGAGCTAGATAATCAAAACAGCACGATGCAGATTGTAGATGAACTGTCCATCCTGCCTGCAATGTTGCAAACCAACGTAGGAAACCCCGTGACAGTTGTGACAACAGCTGCAACTTCGAAGCAAAGTGGTACAAGCGGAGATGGAGATTACCAGTTAGTACAGCATGAGGTATTGTGCTCTGTGAAAAACACTTATGAGGTTCTTGATTTCCTTGGGAGAGGGACTTTTGGACAAGTAGTGAAGTGCTGGAAAAGGGGGACAAATGAGATTGTGGCAATCAAAATCCTGAAGAATCATCCTTCATATGCACGCCAAGGACAAATAGAAGTGAGCATATTAGCGAGACTGAGTACTGAAAATGCTGATGAATTTAACTTTGTGAGAGCCTATGAATGCTTTCAGCATCGTAACCATACTTGTCTGGTTTTTGAGATGTTGGAACAGAATTTATACGACTTCCTGAAACAAAACAAATTCAGCCCTCTGCAACTGAAAGTAATACGGCCTATTCTGCAACAGGTGGCCACTGCACTGAAAAAACTAAAAAGTCTGGGTTTAATCCATGCTGACCTCAAACCAGAGAACATTATGTTGGTGGATCCTGTTCGGCAGCCTTATCGGGTTAAAGTAATAGACTTTGGGTCTGCCAGCCATGTATCAAAGACTATTTGTTCAACCTATTTACAATCTCGGTATTACAGGTAGGTGTCTTTTACTTCGCTTTTAACTTCTAATGGAAAAGGTATTAGGATTTATGAAATTTAATGGCTTAAATAATTGCTCTTTCAGATGTATAATAAGAATACCTTGGAAAACATAAGGACCATCTAAGAATGTAGGCCATACTAAGACTAAGTAGTTGGTTACAATTTTCAATACAACTAATTGCTTTTAATGTTTTTATAGTGTTTTTTTTTCCCAGAAGTATGTTTTGTGTTGCACTCTGAAGTCATCACTGACTGTTATTTTGAGACCTCTGATGAGACTTTTTAAAAGGAAAATAGAAAAAAAAAAAAGCTTTCGCTTGCTTGGTTAGGATGCCTTTCCTGCCTTCCTAGCATGATGTTTGTTGTTTTTTTTTTCTGGAAGCAGCTGGACAGTATGCTAGAAGTGCCATATTTTACATCTTGTTGCCAAAGATCGTGTAAATGCCTTTATTTTTCTCCAGCACTTGTAAATATTTTGCCTCATTCTTATAAACTCCATTCTGTTTGAGTGCCTTCAGCAGCTGTGGACTTCAGTGAACTTCTAGTGAAAGGATACTTGAATGTTTAGGTGATACCAGGCAGGTCTTTAAAGTGATTTTGGTAAATCGTTGTATTCTATGTGGGCTTCTAAAATGGTTGTATATTTTTGGTGAAATTTTTTTTTTTTGTCCTTTTTTCATAGTTATGTGATCTGCATAACACTTAAAAGTTATTAATATTTACTATCTGAGGTTCATTTGTTTTCTTTATAAGCTAAACTTGTCTTGATTGAAGACCTTTTCCAGTTCTGCTTTGGTTGGCATTAGTATGTCCTGTGTATTGCCTGTCTGTCTTCAGTAAAAAGCTAGTAAACTAGGACAGTGAGTAATTTGAAGAACATTTTAAATATTTTACAGCTATTCATGCTGGAAGTGAAAACTTGTGCTGTGCAATTCTAAGCTTGATGAAATTAGTGATTGGAGTTCATGCCAAGAGAATCTAACTTTTTTTTTGCCTGTAGCTTGTAAACAAGAACACTTCATGTACAGTGGTCCTATAAAATATTCTAATTTATCAACTGGATTTCTCTATTGCTTAATTACTAACCAAAGCTAAGGGTTTAAAAACCACACAAAGTTAATCAACAGAAAACTAAATTGGGAAACCATATGGATTGATGCATACCCACATTATACAAAAATGTGCATGAGAGGAAATAAGAAATTAAGTAACTTGAGAGGCATTTTGGTGTAGTAGCTGTTCACCACTCAAGATGCAGTATTTTGGGGCCCCTCAGGACAAAAATGGGTGAGTCTTGAAAAGGTGGCATGAATTCTGTGAGGTTCTAGACAACTACAGTGTCTTAGCATCAGCTGTTCTGTACAAATTCATAATTCAGCAGATAATCAAGATGCTTGGTCTAAGAATAATTCCTTGCCTATTTTAGCTTTTTATTTATTGAAGCAATTACAGATTATTGTGAACTATTGCCATTTCTCCCTCCTCTCTCCAAAAGAACTGACAAAGGGAGAGGCTGTAGGCAGCCAGGCTGGGTGGTTCTATTGTAGTACTTTGTTCTCCACTAACTAGTTTCAAATTGTTTTTTCTGTTTCAGATGGCTCAGTAGTGTTGTGCTTATTCAGTTGCCTACATATAACTTTTAGCTGTAGTTTTGTTTTACTTGGGTTCATGTTCCTTTGCATCTATACTTTGTATGGAACTTTGTCATGCTTAACTGGAGTGAGCAGGTCTGTATGCTGGCAAGGTCAGTGTGCAATTCCTTGGCATCTTGTCTGCATTTTGGATACTTCTACTGCTTTACATGCACTGAAGTCTGAGTAAGTGGGGTTCATTGCGGATGTGCATTAAGAAATATTCTTCCCCACACTCACAAGAATAAAACTCATGGGTGTTTATGTTTGTCTTGGCTCAGTGACGTTGTGTGATACTCATGCAGACTCATACAACATGTGCATCTAAAATTCCGTAGTTACTAACTTGCACGTAAGTGCTTTGTAAATATTCAGGCTGTTCAGTAGAAGATCATATTCTTTTATCTTGGATAGTTTTGTAATCCTTCTATAAAGTAACATTTAACTCAGTATTTTTTGGAAGAAAAAAAGGACGTAAAAAAAAGCTAGGATCTGGCTACTTGAATAGCTTTATTGTTATATATGTTAAGTATTGGTTATGATAATTTTGGAACTGACTTGAATTTTTTTTTTTTTTTTTTTAAAGATGCTATACTTCAAAATTATTGTCAGGAAAAAGTTTCACTTTGGGAAGATTAACTTCTGAAATGCTTTCCAGTATGCTGGATTTCATCATTGATGCTCATCTCCCTACCAGTTCTGTGAATCAGATTAACTTTGTGTAGCTTGGCATTCAGTTTCTCAGACTTTCATTTTACTGCTTTGGAAGCACCTGACTAGTGTAAATAATAACAGAAAACAGGGATTTGTTTCAGAAGGTCTCAAACTAGATAGTACCAGGTAAATTTGAAGCGAAAAGCCTGAAAGAAGATTGAAAATATTCTCAATAATCTGACAATATATTGTGTCAAGGTGGAATTTATTTTGGAAGAGATTCTACTTGTGAATCAAAAAGGAGCTCCTTCATAAAATGTAACTGTACTTACATGTCCTTTGTACTAGAAAAGGGTGGGAGTGATAGCGCAGGTCTGACTTGTTTGACTATGGCAGGTTGAAACAAACCCTTTAAAAAAAAAATCAAGCCGTAGCTGGGACATTGAAATACCTTTTCTTTTTTTCTCTTTTCTTCACTTAAGGTCAGTGGTGTGATGCATTTGTTTAGGTTACTTAGCAAGAAAGCATTAATTTAAACAAATTTTTATTTAAAGCTTGAAGCTAAATTAATCCAATTAGAGTTCCAATTGGAAATGTTTTTTTTAAGAAGTTTTTGTTCCCTGCAGCACCTCTTTTATTAGTGGGATCCCATCTGTTCTTGTACATCTTTGAAAACTGTTTTTGTGCAAGCTCTGTGTGTGTTGTCATAATGCTTTACCTGTAATTCTTACCATTGCGGATCCTTGTCTGTTTAGAGATGACAGTGCATGAGATTTTGATTTACTAAGTGACAGGCACAGTGCAGTACTTCTACCTAGGAAATATCCCTGTATTTAGTGGGAAATATCCCATTAATGTTGATGTCACGTGAACCTGGCCTGTTCTGATGTGCAAACAGCACTCAGCTAGGCCTAAGACTTTAAGGACAAAGGTATGAAACGAAGCATTTTGTTTTTAAATTATTGTTTAGTGATCAAGAGGTCTTAGGAAAGGATGGTATGAAATGCCCTCAAATGACAGCATGGGATGCATCCCATGGCATCGGGATGCCACTGCTCAGCCCTGTGGTGCCAGGGCAGCCCTGCTCCAGGTGTGAGAACTAACCCTGGCCTTCCTTCTGCTCACCCCAGAGCTGCCCAAGTGCCTGTGCCAATGTGAGGAGGGAGAGGGGTGGTCTGGGGAGAAGGGAGAAATTGTTATTTCTGGCAGCACTGTGAACTTACACCATGGTCATTTTCAAGAATAGGATTTACACTTTCTCAATGGAAAGCATGTGCCCACCAATATCTGAGGAGGCCTATGTTGAATACTCAAAAAAAGCCCACAAAGAAGTTTTGCAGAAGTGAATGAAGAGGGTTTTGGTTGGGTTTTTTCTTCCCCCCCCCCTTTTTTTTTTTAATCTCATCACTGCTTTTTTAAAAATTATTATTTTCCTTCTCACAGGATTGTCACGAGCCAATTATTGTGAGAATGGAGAATGCCACAAGTCTAATGTTATGATTTTTATCTTGAATGGTAGTATCAATATTTTCCATCTGTAAGAGGAAGTGAGTAATGAATTGGAAAAATAAGTAATAAGAGGATTAGGATTTAAGACAGGAAATGTTATACAGCCAGGTGAATAGATAATGGGCTAATTTACCTTACTTAATCTGTAGCAGAAGAAGCAGTGACATAATAATGACTATTGGAGACTTTGCAGTATTTTTTATATGATAAGAGATCATAAAAAGTAAGACTAAATGAAATTTGAGAAGGATGTAGACAAGCAGAAAAATTGAGACAAACTGAATGGAGTGATTGTGATTTGATGTTTTCCTGTTTCTGTTTCAACTTTGTCAAGCAAAGAGGAAGTAAAATAAGAAAATGGTTAAAACAACTGTAAACATACTTTTTGACATTTCATTACCTTTTGGAAACTCGTGGCTATTCTGTGTTGCTAGAAATTGGAGTATGGATATGAATAAATACTAATGACAGTACACTACCTGAAGTTATAGATTATTATTTTTTTATTGTTTTAAAGATGAAATGTTATTTTGAATAGTCTTTTGCTGAAAGACAATGTCTGTGCTCACATGATGTTTTTATGCTGGTCTGGATTTTATTAGCTGTGGACTAGAGAGATCTGGTATAATCTCATCACTGCTTTTTTAAAAATTATTATTTTCCTTCTCACAGGATTGTCACGAGCCAATTATTGTGAGAATGGAGAATGCCACAAGTCTAATGTTATGATTTTTATCTTGAATGGTAGTATCAATATTTTCCATCTGTAAGAGGAAGTGAGTAATGAATTGGAAAAATAAGTAATAAGAGGATTAGGATTTAAGACAGGAAATGTTATACAGCCAGGTGAATAGATAATGGGCTAATTTACCTTACTTAATCTGTAGCAGAAGAAGCAGTGACATAATAATGACTAGTGGAGACTTTGCAGTATTTTTTATATGATAAGAGATCATAAAAAGTAAGACTAAATGAAATTTGAGAAGGATGTAGACAAGCAGAAAAATTGAGACAAACTGAATGGAGTGATTGTGATTTGATGTTTTCCTGTTTCTGTTTCAACTTTGTCAAGCAAAGAGGAAGTAAAATAAGAAAATGGTTAAAACAACTGTAAACATACTTTTTGACATTTCATTACCTTTTGGAAACTCGTGGCTATTCTGTGTTGCTAGAAATTGGAGTATGGATATGAATAAATAC